GCTCATTTTTTTCGCCCCTCCCGCAGGCTACGTGTCCATATACACGGAGCGTATCTTGACGCTCTGGAAACTGTTTCGTCGCCCACTCTCAGATAACGTGGTGAAGTCGCTACAGGTTAGGATGCTCATCGTGTGGAGGCGCGGATAGAGTAAAGCATAGTCTGCCGCCGTCTGGTCATGCGACATGGGCAACGAGGAGTTGCAGCTTTTAAGAAACACCCAGCTGGGCACTGCCGCGTGTACACCGATACACATGTGCCGCTTCGCGCTGCACACACATATATATACTTTTGCCGCTGTCTCCCACAGATTCTGACTGGGCACTTCATATGGGTTGCGTGCAGCATCGTCGTGTTTAAGCAGTTGCTTTACCCGTACTTCTTAAACAATGAAAGCAATTTGAATTTGCGCTACAAGAACAGTTGGTGGTTTGAGGTGATCTACGGGTACGTCTTTTCCCACTTCGTATTCAACATTGTGGATGTGCTAAACAATTTTATAATAAATCGTTTCATGGGAGAGGCGGAAGACGAGGTGTACGTGGACAACAGCATAGACGACATTGTTAGCGGAAGAGAATTCGTTTCAACTCTGTTGTGCATTATTAGTCCCTGTTTTAGTGCGCCTTTTTTTGAGGAATTTATTTATCGTTTTTTTGTGCTGAAGAGTTTGAATTTGTTCATGCATATACATTACGCCGTTACGTTTTCTTCCCTGTGTTTTGCAATTCACCATTTGAACATTTTTAACTTACTTCCTTTGTTTTTCCTGTCCTTTTTATGGTCCTACATTTATATATACACTGACAACATTCTCGTCACAATGCTTATTCACTCGTTCTGGAACATTTACGTTTTTTTGTCTTCCCTCTACAGCTAGCCATTTTGTATTTTTTTTTTTTTTTTTTTTTTTTTTTTTTTTCACACATTTGTGCAATTTTTCCGCTTACGTCAAGATCAGGGCACCTCGTCGGCGGTAGTCTGACGGGCCACACCAAGCAGTTGCCTATACTTGTAAAACATTACGCTGTTATTTTTTTAATTTTCTCATTTGAATATGCTTTTTAGTGTTTAACGGGACATATGACCAGTTGGAAGACCTCCACATGGGAGTCTCCTTTCATTACACATAAATGTACCCTATATACTGGTGGTCGAACGAAATGGTGGCGTTGTTGCGCAATTTGTCGGGCCCAACGCACATGCATGTATAGCAGCGGAGAGTTGGACCATCCCTTTTGCAGAAGTAATCCTGGAAAGTAGGCTAATCGGTGATACATACACCGGCGGAAAAAATTAAAACAACAAAAATAAAACAGCCTAGCACTTACCTAATCGTTTACCAGGTTGGCTCGTCCCGCATCGCTTTTTTGTTTTTTTTTTTTCTGTGCATAACGTACGAGCGAATTATCCGTCGAGGAGAAAACACTTCTTCTCATAAAGACCCTATTGGAGTTATCACAGAATTGTTATGAACTGTTCAGGTGAAAATTACGCCCCCTTTGTTAAGTCCCCATTTGGTAAGGTGCCCCTCATTTAGGATAACGATAAAGATAAAACTGCAGGGTGCCACTGGAGCCAGCTAACATTTACATTAACCGCTCTGCCAAACTACGCTGACGTGGGGAAAGTCCTACAAACGGCAGGATAATTTATCACACCCACGTGTGCCCCATTTTTAGGCGCGCCATGCAGGCCAACAAACTCAGCAGCCACCTGCTACGCAGGGTTTGCATGCTACATGGCAAGACTTTTTTACAAACCAAAAGATACGTATCGGTGCTAGCGAACGAATTGAGGAGTGGGCACATATTTCTCCACAATGACAAATATTGCGAGGTGACTGAACAGAGGCAGGTCAAGCAGGGCCGACTGGCCACGACGAACATGGTAAAGCTTATAGGGGTGGGCCAGAGCAACAACATTGTGAAGTGCCCACAATTCACATGCACACATGTGTACCCCCATAAATGATAAGCACACGCATATGTAGCTGTGCGGACGGATGTTTTGGCCGTCCATGCAACGGGCTTAACCAATTGGGGGATCTTTCCTTGTGTGTGTATCTCCCGCACCCACCGTGCATTGTGTGCCACGGAAAGTATTTCCCTCTCTTGGTGTTCGCTTAGCTCCATTTTCCTTTACTCCGTTATCTCGTTTCCTTCCCCCCCGCGCAGATCTCCTTCATCGACCTGAGCACGTTAAAGAGTTCCTCAGTCAAATTCGCATGCCAGGCGAAGGTGGAAAAAATTGAACCGATCAAAACAAACGTGCAGGTACAGTATACAGACAAGCAAAAAAACATAGTAGTCTGCTTGGATGAAAATTATGAAGATATAGAAATACCCATGAACATTTTTGGCATATCGGAGGAGTACCTGGAGCCCGGTTTGCAAATCACAGTGTTCAAGCACGAAGACAAAATTGTGAAGGTTAATTTGCCTTCATCGCTGCTGGCGATACTGCGCAAGAAATAAAAGTTTGGTGTGCGCCTCAGTTCGTTTTTGTGAGGTCTGCTCAATTCCGGAAGGGGGATCCCACCCGAACTGTTTATTCGCCTCTCCGTCTTCCTTCCACCTCGCAATACATTTCATCATTTCGTGTGAGTGTTTTTTTTTTTTTTTTTTTTTTTTTTTTTTTTTTTTTCTGTTCATTTGTGTAACTTGCGCAACCACCCCATGATGGTGATGCCGTCCAACGTGCACACAATTTGCCCTTGCAAGCATACCGATATATGATGGGCATATTCGAAAAAAAAAAAAAAGAGAACATTAATTTGTATAGTGAAATGGGAAGGGCGAAAGGGATGGGTCACACGTAGATACATGTGTTCCCCCCTACAAACGACAGGGGCTCTGCAGAAGGAGTTGCCAAATGTGTACTCCTTCACCTCCACCTCCACCTGCACCTACAAGGGGGGGTGTAATAAGCCCTGCTGGAAAAGCCCTATCGGAGGAAGAGAAAAAAAGCAAAGGGTGTAAAACAATATGTGCATACTTTTGCGTATCGAAATGGTCTTGCGGAGGGGCAAAAACAATTGGCACGCTCCCTAGGCAGAGCATGCACATTCGGAAAAGGCAAATTTACTACACCCCATTTTTGTGCCAAGTAGGGAGGGAAATTTAAAAAAAAAAAAAATATACATACACATGTATATAAATAGGTATATACGCAAAGTTAACTGTCCGTTCTGTTAACCACTGGGGGGGGAGAACCCCCCTGCGAGCGTGACTTTACCAACTCAAGGGCAAAAACATTTCGCCCCCTCCGCAAAAAAAAAAAAAGGAGGGCAACACAGGGCATATTTTTTAGCCGGTGCGCTGTTATCATACACCCAACAGCTGAATCAAACAAAGTCAGGAAAAAAAAAAAAAAAAAAAAA